CACCAGACCTCCTATAGTGATCACTCTCTCTGTCTCACTCACTGGAATATAAATCACATCAATAACACTAGTCTATACATGTGATATAGCCCCCGTGCCCTGGCTGAGTTTACCCACCAGACCTCCTATAGTGATCACTCTCTCTGTCTCACTCACTGGAATATAAATCATATCAATAACCAGTTTTGAGCCTAGGTTTTTAAAAAAAAACCCCTCTGAATCAGATTTTATTGCAGAGCTCAGGAACCATCAGAATTGAATTTAAAAATGCAGAATTCCGCGTTTCCCCAGAAAAAGTTCATGTCTGCATAATATTAGTATGATAAACTACCTATACATGTATTTTATAATTAAGGTTGGCCATTATTTCTATACACAACACTCTGAAATGTTTATTCACTGTTAATTGTTCTTAAATGATCTTAATGACTTCAGCTCTGTTGACAAAAAGAAAGTAATTTAAGTAAAGGACAGTTTTAGAAAAAAATCAGCTCAATAAATCTCAATTCAAATTAGCTGGTCATATATGATTAAAAGTGAGTTCTTTCTTTGTGTATTTCTTATCATTTACATACCTATTCCATCATTATCAGGGTTCAGAACATTAAGGGTTGTGGTGCCATCTTTCTGTCTCCGTAGGAATCCAATCTGAAGGAGTGAAACAGCAATATAGACCCAAAACATCACTAAAATCATAACAATTTCAGCAAGGAGGATTCTGCTAATATTTCATAGGGTCAAGCAGATTTCAGGCAATGTCACAGCTATTTGTAAATGACATCTATTTCAATTAGTAAGTGTGAGTTCTGTAAATCGTAATATATATTAATGATAATCTCACACAAAGCTGGCCTCTTTTATCTTAGCCGGAAAACTAGACCTCTCCAAATCTGAAAACAATCCAGGTTTGGGGAGAGGAAGGAGACTGAGGGGGGTGGGGGTCTTCCCCCATTACAATAAAGCACCATGATATCATGGTTGTTTTCCAGTCCAGAAAGGCCAATATTCATGCCGTTTTCTAGTTCGGAAAGGCTAACCCAGAACACCAGTCCACTATGACCTTGCTATCAGGTCTCCTGAGTGAGGTCATAGGTCACATGATATCATGGTTATGTTTTCCAGTCTGGAGAGGCCAATATCATGGTTGTGTTTTCCAGTCAAGAAAGGCCAATACAGAACATCAGTGCACACTTACCTTGCTCTCAGGTCTCCTGAGTGAGAGCTTATCCCCAGCATCCTTGGCGGCAGCCTGGGCCTGGGCCAAGATCTCCTTGGGGGTCAGGTTGTCAGGTGTAGCCTCATGGACTATGGCACTGGAGGAGAAAGAAAAGATGATCTAAAGACGTGTTTACATTCAAGTCAGGTTAATTCTACTCAGTTTGATGCCAGTGTACAGACTGTCTGATTCAGCTAAGTGTATGGAATTTCTGTCTTTTTTCATGTCCACTGTCACTGCGTCATTTTTGATCCGCAGACTAGTAAGCCTGCAAAGCAATTGGTAGTGAATGCTGCCTAGAAGATACCTTGCTTAGTATATAATCAGCCTGCATCTATGTCTATTAATGTATTTTTTTATACAGCTGTTTATTCAGACCTGTAAATGTTTAACAATCAGTGAAGTTTTTCACCTTGACTTGACTTGGACTTTCTTTGGTTTTTTGGGCTCCGTGTCCGCGGGGTCGTCTTCAATCCCCAGCTGCTCCAGTGTGATATTCTGCATAAAGGGTAGGGTGCGTTTCATATTCAGGAGACGCTCCTGAAAGAATGCCATGAAATCGTCATGAAACTGCCATGTAAACTTTATTTCAATTCTTTGAGTGGGTTTCACATTCAAATGGCATTCCTGAAAATTGGCTTGTTATTTTCGTGTAAAATGGGATTTATATAACAAAAACATACCTGGGTAAGATTTCATGTTCAGGGGAAATGTCTTATATTGCCATGAAATAGTCAAGAGATTGCCAGGTGTATTTTGCATTCTCTTCTACTCAATTTGGACAAGCCAATTAATCAACTATGTTACAGTTAGTTACATCAGGCCTATATACGGGTATGTTTCACAGTCAGGGGACTATATCAGTGCTGTCTTACCCATCTTCTCATTTTCATCCCATCCCTTGTTTTTCATGAAACTTGTGTATAGGTTACAAAGATAGCGTTTCATGAAAAACAAGGGATGGGGGTGAAGATGAGAAGATGGGTAAGACAGCACTGATATAGTCCGACCCGTCAATGATGTAACTAACTGTTAGAGGGCTATTGCAATCATGTCACCTTACCTTACTCATCATTTTCATCCCCATCCCTTGTAATTTCTTGGCTGCCTTGTAATAGATGGTATCTGGTCTGTTGTAGGTCATGGCATTGTCCAGCATCAACATGAAGTCTGCCTGAGATACAGAAGAGAGCAGGAATAAGGGGGCATTCACAACCAAAATTGATCTATTGACTAACAGATCCATGGATCAAATATGGCTGACCCACTTGAAAGCTTACTGCTTACTCCCCGCAGGGAATGTATTCAGTGTCTATTAGGGGATTATGCAACAAGCTTTCACGTCGGTCGGCCATATTTGATCTGCGAATCTGTTAGTCTGCAGATTAACTTTTGTGTCAGAAGCACCAATACTGCAAAAGACTACCTACTATGTCCAATTACGTCAGATTAGTTAAGATGGCTGTGTAGTAAGGACTGCAAAATATTGAAAAAGAAAGAAAAAATAAATAAAATATTAATGAAAATGTGCCCCATGTTCAGTCTTACCTTATACTCTGCAGCAGTCTGGTACTCCTCTCTGTCTATTTTGGCCTGCATGGTACTGAGATCCATGGGGTGGGAGATGATACTGGAGTACCCTGGGGCTATGATATCATTGACAGGGAAGGCAAAGAATCCATTGACGTCTTTCCTGCAAAGAGAGAGAATGCACATGATCTCTACAGTCTACAGTGGCAGATGTAGGACCAAATCAGAACAAGCTGTGTGCCGATCAAATTGGCAGACCCTTAAAGGGATAATAACTCTTCGTTTCGGTCAAAAAATGAATTTTCCTGGAGTAAGCAACAATTTTCCCATACTTACCAATGGTTAATGAATCCATTTTTACATTCAAAGTTAGTCCCTGGTTTTTTTCTAAAAAGTTTGGTTTTTTGTTAAAATCTCTTAAGAGAGTATAGCCATCAATGGAGGTCACGTGGTCTAAAGACAAGCTCAGATATCAGAATAATAGCTATAACTGCCGTTTTTGTGGTAAAACAATATATTATATTTCTATGAGTTATTCACAATGTTTTTATTGTGAAATATAGATCTCATACGAAGAGTTATTATCCCTTTAATATACAGTGAACTGATTCCCCATGGCGATTACACAGTTAGCTTTCAACTGGGTCAGGCATATTTGATCTGTGGATCTGTTATAACTACAATTTGGGATCAACTGAACATTTTACATGTAAACTGTTCACAGAGGCTCACTGCCCTTAGTCTTTATCTTTATAAACAATTTCTAAGAAAAATTTAACTTCACTCCACATAGACCTTCAGTTGGCAAAATTTGACTTTATATTTACAATTTTTATTTTGTAAATTTGAAAAACTCACTCCACAGCAGTGCCAAAAACTAGTTCATCTGCCAAATTACGTCATCAAGAAATGCTGCAAGATGTTTTAGGAATTAACTTCAAATTCATTCAGAAACTAATAGAAATATAATCCATTTATGGTATTCAGAATCAACTGGGTCACCCATTAAATTACCTCATCAGAAAGCGCTGTAAGTATTCCAGAAGTGGTTTAAGAGGATCTTCAGATTTATTCAGTGTGCACGACCTCGGCTCTCGTAGCTTCCTCTCGTACATCTCTGCTGCTTCACGAGATGCCTGGTCATGTGACTGCAACAGAGCTCGCTTTGCAGGGGGTTCGCCATCCTCAACATCGATCTCACTCTCTGTGGTTTCTTTTGTTGATTCTTGGTACTGGGGAGGTAAACAACAAAAATATTATGGTACTAAGTGTGACACATGCACTTGTACATAAAAGGCTGATTCCATGATGAACACTTATCTGTGACATATAGAAATTAATTTTATGGCCAAATTTCATCATTTGGAAATCAACATTTTTCATATTTCTAATTTAAACACTTCTTGGGTAAGCTGCTATATGCTTTAACCTCACAGATATTATGAATGACATAGTGGTGGATGTTCCTATTGGATATTATATGTTCTTTAAACTTTGATGAAAGACAGATGTAATAAACCTTGGTAATCACTTTGTTTTAATTGGGGACCTTTCTGAATTCAAATTGACAAATATTCATTTTTGAGTCAAAGTGAGTCACTGTGGCAGAAAAAGAGTGTCAAAGTTTATGACAGAGCTAAGGACCCCAATAAAGCTGTTTTGAAAAAAAGTTTTAGAAATTATTGTGAAAACCAATACTTTAGTTTCACTATGGCTCTCGTGGTGACGTTTATGTTCATGGTGGTGATGCTTGTGCCTCTCCTTATCTTTGTCCTTTTCCTTCTTCTTTTTCTTTTTCTTATGTTTGTGTTTTTTCTCCTCATGGGGTCTGTCCTCTGACACAGAGGTTTGTTCCGCAGTTTCACCGGATCCTATCTTGATCACCATCTTTAGGGGTTTGTCTGGAGAGAGAAAATACAGAATTTAAATTTGAGAATCTTTTTATAATAATACATATAACAATGCTTCTATAAATAATAATTTCTTCAATGCACACCTTCAACCAATGTAAATTGCAATAATTTGACACTGTTTTTGATAAATATATATATTTATATATAAAATTAATTTTCATTTTTCAAGCTGCTGCTGCAACTTTCATCATTCACTCGTCACTTCATGGCCTATTTAATTACAAATAATTTTTGTTTGACACATATAACAAAAACAGAAATGGTTATAGAAACTAGCTTAATTTGGATTTAATTTATTTACCATGTTTTTCAGACTGTTTTTCTTGGTAGTCTTCCTCTTCGTCCCTCTCTCTCTTTTCACTTTTGTGGTGTTTCTTGTGTTTCTTTCCCATTTTGGACTAATCCTTAAAGTATGAATTTTAAATTCATCGAGAAAGAAAAACGATAAAAGAATCAGAACAAAGAGGCAGGTGCTACACAACTAAACAAGCCATTCTTGCGGTGTGTTAAAAAATCCATAGATGGCGACTCTTCCAAGACAAGCTCAGCTTAGCGCATGCGTATTGTGCAAGGTCACAAAGTACGTTTCCGGTCGGATGTTACAACGTGAAACACGTCTGGTTTCATAATATATGCACGCTTCTGAAAAGGTAAGTCTTTGGTAAAATTGTGGTATTTTAAGATGAAAATTTTATTTAATATTAGAACAGATGACTGAGAGAATTTTCAGTGAATGACTTGGGTGTTCTCATTAGAATTTTTATGCAGAGATATTTTTGTGTAAGTGTCAAAGCCAGAGAAGCATTTGACAGAACAAGGAAGCGTGGCTGATGAAATTGACCGGTTAAATGTAAAAACAGTAGTTAACTTTCACTTTCCATATGGCGTTCTCAGAAGTCTTTGCTTTGTCAGACCCTTTTGTCAGGAGTCGACAATTGATCATTTATGGTACCTTGTGATAATTTATGAAACTGGAAACTTCGTAAAATTTACTAAAATGTGCCTTTTGAATAGATGGGGGTGGGGGTGTTGTGCCAAAATAGGTACGCTGCCAAAATAGGTACGCGCCGCACTATTTGGCACTATAGCTGCCAAAATAGGTACGCTGCGAAAATTAGTACGTCCTTGACAGCTCCGCACTGACGATCTTTGGGCATGTTTTCTTTTTAGTGAAACTGTATGTTTATCGATATGACACTTTACTAAATCAATCTCAACGAAGGAAGATAATGTGTAGGTTTATATTTTGAATGATTATATAGTGTCTTTTTCTTAGTAATAAGATTTATAATGCAGGAATTGCTTAACCGCATATATCAAGCCTTTGATTCGATCTTCAAGATAAAGGTGGAATTTTTGGTCACCCAAAAGGTAATAAACATAAAATATTGACATGACCTATTGCGGATCAGTTTTACTACTTGGTTCAAGTTAGCAGGTCATATATTTTTGG